TTGGCACTCACATCATCAACCAGCTGAGTGACCTGGAACAAGTCACTTACCTTCCCTGGGCCTCAGTTACTCATCCTCCATAAAATGAGAAGCTTGGAGTCAATGATCTTTAAGGCCTCCGTCAGCTCAGGCACATAATTGTAGGTATTCAGGAAATGCTTATTTAGTAATTTAATGATAAAATTCAAGGCAAAGTTCTGCAGTTTAAGGCACCCATCTTTCTCACTATGCATTTTGCTGCTGCTATTAACTGATTAGTGTCAAGTGCCAGCCCAGGGCCTGGCACATAACAGGTGTTAAACCAATGTGAGTTGAATCCACATATGCAGTACGTTTACAGTAGCCCAGGCTGAAGACAGAACAGAAGTGACTGAACAGTAAGAGCTGATCATGGGATCTCAGGGTTGGCAAATGTTCCTCCTGTCACAAGTTGCCTTTCCCTCTGGACACTGGGGCTTAGAGTATCTGTCAAGCAGCATTGCTCCTTGTTCCCAAGTAGCATTGCTCCTTGTTCCCAACAACCTAGGCCCTGCTTTTGCTCATGCTGTTCCTTCTCCTTAGAACACCCATGAGGGGCTGGAATTTACACTGCTTACAAGCTAATAAGCTAGCCTGCTATTGTTTTATACATGCTGACAGAAGACACAGGCTTGCTGAACCAGAGACAAAGAACTTACACTCTTAGCCCAGCAAGCAGCATGAGCATCATCATTACGTCTCTTTCCCTTGTCCCCACGGTTCATGGGAGAAACACAGAGAGCCAGATGTAACATATGCAGGGGGTTTGCCTCATAGCTGAGGAGTACCAAGCTTAGGAAACAAACCATTGTCCCCTCTTACCAAAACCACTTTTATAGTAAGCAGCAAGCAAGCCTACTCTTTGTCCAGGAGATGATGTTCCCTCATTCCTCAAAGTTGTTGGCTGCAAACACAACACTGAGAAATGGCTGGGGAAAGAGCAGTCATGGCCTTGCATTCTTGGCATACCCAGTGATAACATCCAGGGATGCTCAGAATCCATGGTGGACTGCCTCACCCAACAACACCCATCCCCCATCTCTGCTTGTCAAATTTTATCCATCCTCAAATGACACTTCATTCTTGCAGATTTCCTCACCTCCAATCATACATACTTTCTCCTTCCCTTTTGTATTTTCCTTATAATTCTCATCTATCCCTCTCTTTTGTGTCCACAATTGTTTCTCCCCTACCAGCAAGTGCAAACACTTTGAGGGCAGTTGGTCCTCTTCCTGCATTCTACAGCCAGATTGTTTGCATCCAGCAAGGGCATAGACCGTATTCGTTGAGCTGGAGGAATCAAGATCTTTGTGCATGGTTACGCTTTTGCAGAGAGTCTGCTGAACCGCACCTTGGAATGTCTTCAGGATTCCAGAGGCTAAAAATATCTCCCAAAACCACTGCATTGACTTCCTTGTAAGGAGTAGGACATGGCTGGTGAAGCTGGAGGGCTATGCCCACCAGGTGGCGCCCCACCCTCAACTTTTCAGATTTTTTTTTTTTTAAGTGAGGATTCTCTTCTCTGAATGTTCCTTTATTCAGTTAGGTTCCCCACTCACAGAGAGAGTTTGTCATCAGTCAAGCACTCAGATTCAGTCCCCAACTGCCTGTCCTAGCCCCAGCCCTCTCAAGATTGGCACCTGAGGGCACTGAGAATGTCCCTCCAGGAGAGTTGCTAAGGGATGCTGAGGGAAAAGCCTTGAAATTGGATTTGGACGACCTAGGTTTAAGTCCGCAAACTGACTCTCACTGGTAGTGTTTCTCTCGGCAAGTTACATAACCTTTCTGGGTTCCTGTAAGAGCAACTGAGAATAAAATACAGGAAAGTATATTAAAAAACTTTGAATGTGGACCTGGAGTCAGCCACACCCAGGCTAGTGTTTAAACCGTCACCCATCAGCTGTGTGAACACGGTCAACTTCCTTAACCCTCCAAGCCCTGGTTTTCCCATGAACAAATCAGAGCTAACAGCAGTAATTTTATAGAGCTGTTGTAAGAATAAGGCAGAACAATTAATATAAAGGGCTCATCATAGTGCCTAGTGTATAGTAAGCACTCAGCTCATAATGATCACATATATACTATGTATCCTTGGCCCCTAAAACAATGCCCAGTACTTAATAGGTACTTAATATCCATTTGCTAAAAGGATTTCACAGATGAAGAATCTGAGGCACAAAGAGGTCCTAGTGATAGGAAGTGATGAAGCAGCCTGCCCCTAGGGCTTGTACCTGGGGCCTCTACACCATGATGCCTTATATAGATATGAGTGCTACACATCACCATCTATTTATTTAAAATGTGCATTCAGCTCTGACCTGGTAACTTAATTGGTTAGAGCATCATCCTTGTACACCAAGGTTGTGGGTTTGATCCTGGGTCAGGGCACAGACAAGAAGCAACCAATGAATAAGTGGAAGAGCAACAGGATGTTTCTCTCTCTCGCTCTCTCTCTCCCCCTTCCTCTCTCTCTCAAATCAATTAAAAAAAAAAAAAAAGAGCAAAACATGCATTCAGAGTTTGCTCAGTACCTGTAGGTGGGGCTGTGTTGGCAGTGACTGGCATTAGTCCCCTGAGAAGCCACATATTTTTCCTCCCCCAAGAGGAGCAAGGCTACTGGAAGAGGGACCTGCTCAGCCAGGCCAGAGGTCATGGACTTATTCCACGATCAGGAGATGAGAGGCTAGTTCTGTAGAATAGGATTAGCTGGGGCCCTGATGTATGCACAGTCCTCAGGTCCACTGCTGTTTCTGCAGCCACTCAGCCATCCACTCCACTGACATTTACTGAATCTCCTATGTGCCAGGCACAGACAAAGATGGAAAGGCATGATGACCAGTGGTTACAATGCAGCCGACTCAGAACTACTGCAGAGGGATGCTCCGAGTGGGGACTCGAAAGAGTCAGCAATCAATAGTCTGGGAGGCTGGACCAAAGGGAGGAGCATTTAAACTGGGCAATGATGGATAGGTGACAGCCAAGTGTGGTCTGGGAATGAAAGGCATTCTGAGTTTATTTAGGAACCAAAGATGTTTGATAGGATTGACATACTGAGTGAGATCATGGGTAAAGAAAGGAAGTGGAAAATCAGGAAATTGGAAGTCGGTTGGGGCCAGATTGTGAAACATGCTTGTAGAAGAGATAAAGCCCTATCCTGTAGTCTGCAGGGGAACAGGGCAACAAGGTTGGTGTTTCAGAAAGCTGCCACAGTGCACAAAGGATGGATCAAAGGAGAGAGAAGGGAGACCAGTCACAATGACCAGTTTTGTAGTCTTAACCCCTCCCAGCTTTGTTTTCCTTCTCAGGAAATGAAGACACTAATTGTATATATCACCTGGGTTGTTTTGAGGCTCAAATGAGAATATATGTTAAGCACAGAAATAACAACAATAATGTAAAGCATCAGTAGGTCACATTACAGGCCATTTTGTCTAGTTGTTAAGTACATGAGCTTTGCTTTCTCTTGGGCCTGGGTTGTGTCCTGGCTGTGTCGGGTAGCATATTTTTAATCTAGGCAAGACTCTGTGGCAAGGAAGGTTGGAAAAAAGTAATCGTGTTACTGGGAAACCGACGAGACCTTGGTTCTTGTCTTCTTGAAGGAAAGATTTCAGTCAAGAAACGAAGTGCAGCAAAGCAAGCCAGAATTTATTGGCCACAGCAAAAACACACAGGACAATGAATCAAGGAAGGGCATGGAAGCAGCAACAGGAGAGCCTAGGCTGGGCGGCTTTGGCTCACTGGGAAGTCAAGAGAAAAGAGAGCCTTGGAGGCAGTATCAGGGTGTTAGCCTGGGATGAGCTGCCGCTGCCCGCTGGTTGCAAGTCTGGTGGGGTCCCTTGGAGCTTAGGGAATACGTGCCTGTGGGAATGGGGGAAAGAGTGGCACAGGGGTGCTCCCTTGGGGGAGAGCGCCGGCTGGGTCCTTTGTGTTGAGGATATTTCTCTCTCTTTAGCAGGTGGGACTCTTAAGGGAAGTCTCAGGGGAGGGTCTCAAAAGCATAGTCATCAGCATTTCAGGTGTGCTCCGTCAGGGTCATAACCTCCACTGATTGGTCAGTGCTAGGGGTCATTAGTTAATGCAGCTGGTCCTGAGGCAGCCACATCACTTGCCTGGTTTTGCTGCTTTCCTGGCCCATCGTCCTTGCTCTGCTCACGTCTGTCCAACAGCCTCTAACAACTGGACTTTGCTTTGTGGCCTGTGGAGAGTCAGTGGGGCCTCAGGAGCATGATGGTCCCTTTCTCTGACATGGAGAAGTCGGAGGGCTGAAACAAAAGCGGAGCCCAGCTTTGGACAGGATAAGTTTGAGGTGGGCACTAGCAGGATACTTCGGATGCCGGGGCGAGAATGGATGACAGCGCAGGAGCAGCACCGCCCTCCTCCAGCGCCAAGGAAGGGCGGGGGGCCCGGGGGGCGCTAAACTGGGAGGAAGGAGGAAAAACAGGGCCCAGCCAGATACTGGAGGGACGCTCCAAAAAACAGCTTTTCCCTCCAAGCCTGGACGAGGGCCGGTGGGTCAGGGCGGCCCCGGATGTGGCAAGCTTCGCCCAAGCTGGATGTAGCAGAAGGCCCGCGCCTGCGGTGGGTGGGGGTGGGGGTGGGGGTGGGGGTGCGGGTGCCCTCCGCCCTGCCCAGGAGTCAGGAATCCGAGCTGGCGCCAGCGGGAAGGGTGGCCCAGGGCGGTTAACAAGGCCGAAAAAGAGATGGCAGGAAACGGGGAGGAGCGAGTGGGGGTGGAGGCGGAGGAGGGGAAGGGAAAGGGCGGGCAGGAGGGTGGAGAGAGAGGGAGAGAGAATCCGAGCGGGGCTGAGCGGGGAGGAGAGAGGGGAGAAAGGGTGGGAGCAGGAGAAAGAGCGGAAGACTAGCAGGGAGCCAGGAGGCCGCGGAAGGCGCAGCGGGCACGTCGGCCGGGCCGCCCCCGCGAGCAAGGCGCCGCCATTCCGCTACTCGGGGCGCCGCCGCCGCCGCCACCGCGCCCGGGGGCCATGCTCCCGCCGCCCCCGCGCCAGCCGCCGCCCCAGGCGCGCGCGGCCCGCGGTGCGGTGAGCCTGCAGCGGGCCTTCCTGCGCGGCCCGCTGGGCGTGCTGCGGCTGCTGCAGCTGCTGGTCGGCGCCTCCTTCTGGATCACCATCGCCACCAGCAGGTACCAGGGCCCCGTGCACTTCGCGCTCTTCGTGTCCGTGCTCTTCTGGCTGCTGACCCTGGCCCTCTACTTTCTCACGCTGCTGGGCAAGCACGAGCTGGTGCCAGTGCTGGGCTCCCGCTGGCTCGTGGTCAACGTGGCGCACGACCTGCTGGCGGCTGCGCTTTATGGCGCCGCGACAGCCATCATGATTGACCAGACGCAGAGGCACAGCTACTGCAACCTCAAGGATTACCAGATGCCCTGCGCCTACCACGCCTTCCTGGCGGCCGCCGTCTGCGGTGGCCTCTGCCTGGGCCTCTACCTGCTCTCGGCGCTCTACGGCTGCTGCCGCCGCTACCAGGGCGAGCAGGAGGTGGCGTGAGGACGCCCCGCCGCGGGGCGGGGGGACCCTGAGGAGACCAGCGCCCCAGCCTTGTGTCGCCCCGCGCCTGTGCGCCCTGCCACCGTCCCTTGCTCTGCCTTCTCGCTGCCGCCCGCGCCCAGGCACCCTGACGCCCAGTTCCCACCGACGGCAGCGCCACCGCCCTGAAACCGGACCACTTCGCGGGATGCGCCGGCTTCAGGGACCCAGGCATCCGCATCTCAGACCCCTCCGGAGGCGAGACCTCGAGGTTCCTCTTCCCCTTCCCTGCTGAGAGCGAGACGTGGACAGGCGCCGCGTAGATCCGGGGGAGGCTCCCAAATTGTTAGCAGTCTTCTCGCTGCACCCCCGTCCCCTCCCTGCCGCCTCGCGGTGGGAAGAACACCCCTTTCCCTTGGCCCCTGTTCCAGCCGGGAGTGCTGTAAAAGGCAGGCATGCAGCCGCGGGTGGAGCTGGACAGGCCTCCACTGGTCCCGGGATGAGTGCCGAGTTTGGTTTTAGTTTGGGATTTTGTGAGCATCCTGTACAACCTTCCCGGCTCATCCCTCGGTGCTTTGATGTCTTGGGGGTGGGGCCTAAGGTGAGAACGGATGGTAAGGGCCCGTGGGCTATATTCTTGCCTCTGCCTGCTCGCCTTTGTCCTCCAGGTTCATGGAGGCCAGGCCCAAATGCACACTAGCTTCCCAGGTTCACCTTCCCAGCCTTATTTTCAAAGGCTTCTGCTCCACTCCCACCTCCCAATATCTTTTTGTGTTAGGAATCCTGCACGACTGCCAGGGAATGTTAGGGTGAACAACATTCAGTTTTACAGATGGAGCCCTAGAGCTTGCTCCTAAGAAAAGCCAGAGTAACATTAGAACCCTGTCTCCCGACTCCCAGTCTAGCGCTGTTTACATTAAAGCAGTGGTGTTTCCTGGGATTTTGGCTCAGGATTTACCCTCTAAAAGAGAGTTTCCAGGCTAAATGGGTTTGTCAAAGGTGCTATCCCTCCTTCTTGGAGAGTCACTAACATATCAAAGGCTCTGAGATGTCCTGTAAAACAAGACAGAGTAATAAGTGTTTACTGCTGCTGGGCCTGGACCACATTTTGCCACCTAAAGGTTCTCTTGCAGTCCAGACTATCATTTCTTCTTAAGGGGCCCGACCCATTGGCTATGGTCTGTTTGAAGATTTGGGGTGCTCCCTCTTTCCCAGGGACTTTCTCTAGTAGAGGGAGGGCCCAGCCCATGAGGGAAAACAGCTGCTCCTGACAGGCCAGGGAGAGACCTGGGAACTGGTGAATTTGAACATTCTTTTACATTGTTTGGGAAATGAAGCCAAAATTATCCAGATGGTTTCCCAGTCAAAAGGAACATCACCTGTAAGAGATCCTGGCATTGACTGTGACTTCGATCTCACTCACCAATGAGAAAAGAAAGCTCTCTGGAGCTGGGGTGAACAGCTGGCCTGGCTTCTGTAAGGTATGACACTTCTTGGTTTTCTGGAGGGGGTCATAGCCTTTGAATAAAAATATAGAACTCCTTTTCTAAAAGTTAGGGGGTTTTTTACATGGAAAGCAAGTTGGAGGGGTGACATTAATAACCACATGTCCAAAGAGTTGTGACAATTCAGTCTTTTTGCTAAATCCTTCAAAGGTTTACTCTTTGAAAAAGTTCCCCCCACCTCTGGATTGGAAACTAGAATAGGGGAAGCCGGATGTGTCTTTGTGAGCATGTTTTTGTTTAATTTATTAAAAAATGTTTTTTTCCTTTATTGATTTTAGAGAGAGGAAGGGAGAGGGAGAGAGAGATAGAAACATCGATGAGAGAGAACATCAATTGGCTGCCTCCTGCATGTCCCCCCCCCACCCCCCCCCACACACTCTGGGGATTTGGCCCACAACCTGGGCATGTGCTCTGACTGGGAATCGAACTGGAGACCTCTTGGTGCATGGGTTGATGCTCAACCACTGGGCCACACTGGATGGGCTGTGAGCATGTTTTTAAGGCATAGGTGGAAAGGTATTAGATTTCTCTGTCGTACATGTGAAGATCTGGGCGGGGGAGGTGGGCACTTATGGAAGTTTCTTGGTCACCGCAGCATTTATCTAACCCTCTGTGTGCCAGGCACTGCTCAAAGCACTTAGATATATTTGTTTCATTCTCTCAACAACCCTATTGAGGATTATTATTTCCTTATTCCATATGAAGAAAATGAGTCACAGAGAGGTTGAATAATTTGCCCAGAATCTCCCAGCTGGTGATAGGTGGAGCTAGGATTTGAACTCTGGCAGTTCAAACTCTTCAAGACCAGGCTATACTATATATATATAGTAGGGAGTCAATACATGTTAGATACTGTTAATGTGATTATTTTAATATTTTTTTAGTAAGTTTTTATTAATTTTTTTTTTTTTTTTAATCACCTGAGGACATTTTTCCATTTTTTGTTCAGGCAGAGTGGGAGGGGGAGAGAGGAAGAGAGAGAGAAACATCGATGTGAAAGGGACACATCGAGTGGCTGCCACCCGCACGACCAACCAGGGCCGGGGACAAACTGCAACCGAGGTACATGCCCTTAGCGGGAACCGAACCCGGGTCTCTCAGGGACCGCAGGCCGACGCTCTAACCGCTGAGCCAAACCAGCCAGGGCAGGTTTTTTTTTTTTTAGAGAGAGAGAAACATTGATGTGAGAGAGATACATATATCGGCTGCCTCCTGCACACCCCCGATTGGGGATCAAGCCCGAAATCTGGGCATGTGTCCTGACCTGGAATCGAACTGGGACCTCTCAGTCTATGGGATGACGCCCAATCCACTGAGCCACACCTGCCAGGCTAATATGGTTACTTTAAAAAATCACTTAAATTATGGTAAAATATACATAACCAAACTGACCATTTTTGAGTGGACAGTTCAGTGGCACTATCACAACCATGCATATCCAGAACTTCATCTTGCAAAACTAAACTCTGTACCTATTAAAATTGGGGTTATCTTTGTTTTCTCTCCTCTGGTAATTCTTCAGTGTCTCAGGCTGGCATGCTGCTGCCACACTCCAGGCAGGGTGACTGGTCCCTCAGCTCCCACAGCTGGTGCCAGCCAGAGCTGGGGGGTGAGCTTTGCTAGGACACTTGGGAGTGCCTCAGAAACCCAGTGACTGGTTCTTCTGTTGCAGTTTTCCATGCTGTAGGAGCCATGGAGATTCCCAGGGCCTGTTTCCTTGGATGGGCAATACCATCTGGCCTGTGTCAGCACAAGGTTTCACAGCGAGGAAAGGGAAGGACCTCTTCCAAGGAGCTCCCATCAGCACCATCCAATGGAAGAGCCAAGATGGGTCAAGATTCATTTTGCCTCAACATGAAAGAAATCCTGATTCTCTTTGTGCTCTGGCTTGGGTATAAGATTCCAAACACCTGGAACTGAGTCGTGTGCTTTTGTATCCTAAACAACAGGTTTTGGCTCCAGCTTTTGTTTCTTTTCCCTCTTCTTAGACCACCATCTAAGCTGCATCCTCAGCTCAGATCCAGGCCCCTGAGGATGTCTTTTGAGCTCCCCAGCCCATGGTGCTCTGTCTGTGGTCAAGTGACCTTACTCAGGAGCAGATTTCTTCTTGGCCTTCATGGTAACTTATCCATCCAGATGTGCCTGAAACATTCCAGTGCTCACTGGCTCTTCTAGATGTGCCTTCTGCTTGGCCTCCAGCTTGGCCTCCAGCTATTTCTCCAGATGTGAGAAGGATGGGTAAAATGGCCCCACACCCATCCCCGCCTTCCCCTTGAGGCCCTGTGTGGTGGGAATGTCGACCTGCCTGGCTCAGAACATTTGAATACTGGAGGCAGTCTCATTGGTCTCTCTGGGCCCCAGGACTCAGCTCTAGCCCAAGACCACTGTGCGCTGCCCCCAGACCAAAGTCTAGGACCACTTGCAGACCCAGGAGAGAATTTTTCCAGCATTCTACAAAGGCCAAAAGAAAGGGGGGGGGGGGAGGATGAGGGCCGGTAAGGAGAGGAAACCAATGTGCCTCATTTCAGAGTTCAGTGGTGATTATTATTACGCTTTCTGAATAAAGTTTGGTTTGTCTGATCTTGTGTGTATGTCTTCTCTTCTGGCCCCCTGCAGTTTCCCTCTGTGCCAGGCCCCCCAGCCTTCCTCCATCTTGTTATGCCTCACTGCCCTGTTGTCTACCTTCCCGGCTTCCTCTCCTGGAAGGGAAAGAAAAATGAGTTCACAGATTTCCAGTGCATTTCAGGCAGAACACAGGAACCGGAGGGAAAAAACAGCAGCCTGTGTCTGTCTCTGGCTAAGGCCAGAGGGAATTCCTGAGAGTTCTTTCTCGGCTCTCAATGGGCCATCTGATTGCGAAGCTCCATAGTCTGATGGGCAGACACGACATGGAGCCAGATGGGTCCTGTTGTTCAACCCCAACATTTTCCAGAAGGAGAGATGAAGCCCAGGGTGGGGTGGCAACTTGCCTAATGTCACAGTGTTGAGTAGGGGCGGAATGGGTCTCTTGGAGCCCAGACTCTGGTTCTTTTGTACAGAAACTGCTTGCTTTGGTGTTGGCTCCTGGACACACCCTACCTGGTTTCCCCCCTGCTTCTAGCCACAGCTTGCTGACTAGGTGCCCTGAAAAGGCAGGAGGGCAGTTAACAGGCTTCCTTGCTGGCTCTTCTCTCCTGTGCCCTGGGCATGAAGTCTGTAGCAAGGACACAGGAGTCTACCGACAGACCTCAAAACTGCCTTTGAACAGCTCCAGGCAGGGATTTGATTCTGTGTGTGCTCCACACCCACTCTTTCAAAGCATCCTCTCCAACATACAACACATACACCTTCCTCTTCGTGGTTTGAATTTCCAGGGTGGAGGAAAATGTCACGAGCTTCCAAGGTCCCTCCCTTACTTCTTTTTCTCTCTGTGTTTGTTCATAAATTTTACTCAAAATGAAAAGTGGCGTCCCTTTCTGCAAAGGCTGGTAAGCCCTCTGCTCTACTTTATCCTGGTGAAATATTTTGCAATTGAAAACGTGCTGCTACTTGCATTACCTTATTTGATGTGAAACGGTATTAGAGGTTGGAATTGGCGCTCCCATTCAATAGGGGTTGGAATTGGCGCTCCCATTCAATAGGGAAAGTGGCGTCCCAGAGAGAAGGCCTTGTTCATGGTCACGCAGGCAGTTGGCAGGACTGGGACTGGAAGGCAGATGCTCACACTACCCTTGGCTGCCGGTTGCTAAGCCCTTGTGGTCCAGCAGGCTCCGAAGTTTAGATGGAGTTTGGTTTTTCCACCTGGAGAGCAGGTATTCAGGAATGGTCTAAGCTGACATTTCCTATTTAATGCTGGGACATGTTGAAATAAGATACTACTCCTTGGGGACATCATTGAACCGATTTGAGTCTGAGGGATTTGCTCATTTATGTCTTATTTTTTCTGCTTTTCTAAGGATGGGGGTGGGATGGTTGGTGGTGAGGAAGGAGAGCTAAAACGTTACTATTTCCAGGGATATAAAAAAGAGCAGGGATATAAGAGAGAAAGGTCTAGTTAACACTAAGTTTTTATCATTTGCTTGTTACAGTAGTTATGTGTAAAATAAATACCAGCATATATCCATTAAAATATAATAGCAATACATACCCATTAAAAAATTAAACTGGCCCTGGTCAGTCTTGCTCAGTGGTTATAGCACCAGCCCGTGGACTGGAGAACATGATGAATACCTTATGTGATATCTCTGATCATCCACACAAGCCCCTGAAGCCCCGTTTAACTGGAGACAGGCTCGGGCCCCAGTAGAGATTGTGCGGGAGGCAACCAATCGATGTGTCTCTCTCTTCCTCCCTTCCTCCTACTCTCTCCAAAAATCAATGGAAAAATATCCTCCAGTGAGGACTAAAAATAAAAGTGTAAACTGTTCAGAGTGTACAAAGTAAAAAGAGAAGACACTTGATCATCCTAATCTCATGCCCTACAGTTAAACCATTATTAACTATTAACTCTCCTTCCTTAATTTATATAACTAATAAAATGTCTACATGTGTACACTCAGACTCTTCTACAACTTGCTCTTTATTATGAGCAATAATATAGTTATAACTCTATATGTTTGATAAATATAATAATATACTTTATCCTTTCTAAATGTCCATATGAATAGTTGGGGACTACAAGAATTTCGTGGCCTTTCTGGAACCATTCTAATTTTCTCACATTGGTTAATTTTGTTACTTCTTTGACTGCTTTCTATAGAAATCATAGTAAAACCCTTACATGGGGGTGGGGGGAAGTGTCCTTTTATTCCGATGAGGCAATAGAGGCTTAGGAGGTGAAGTGGCTTGCCCAGGTCTGTGTTCCCACTCAGCCAAGAGTAGCAAGGAAGGGAGGGAGCACTGGGTGACTGCACCCACGTCATAGCCAGTCTTGAGGAGAGGAACCAGGGTTAGTGGGGATAGCTGGGAAGATGGGAGGAGAGTCCAAGACTCTCTGGGCCCTGTGGGGCAAAGGAAAGGCGTGCTGGGGAGGTGGCCAGAATCCAAGAACACCTGTGTATAGCCAGCAGGAGGTATGAACCATTACACCAACCTCAGAGCCTGTGGAAATTACAGCCTGGCTCCTAATCTGAAAGCCCCTTTGTCCTCCCTGTTCCATGATCCTTCCTTTGAATTGGGTGGCTGTGTGGGATCTTGGCAGGCGCCAAGGCTGTGAAGTTCTCTCCCCAGCACTGAGGTGAGAGAGGGCAAGCTCCAGAGGCAGTCCCTCTGGCTTCATCCCCACCTCTCCCTGCAGGGGCATGCTGGTTCTCCTTACTGCTATCTTCAGGAGTCCTGAAGGGGGCGCTCTGACACCCTAGTCCTAAAGCACTTCTGAGTCAAGGTTGGGAAGAGGGGAGAAAGGGAACTCCACGAAGCATCTTCAGTGAGCCAAGAACATGATGAATACCTTAGGTGACATCTCTGATCATCCACACAAGCCCCTGAAGTATTAGAAAGCCCCGTTTAACTGGAGACAGATTCGGGCACTTGATCTGCCCAGGGCACTTGGCTAAGTGACAGAAACAAGATTCAAACTCAGGTCTGTGTTACCATGACATGCCGTCTCTGAGGATTTCTCAACAGACACATTGTTTCTCCCAACCATCCACTCCACCCAGACCTAAGTTGAGCTTTGTAATAGTTATACAGCATCTTGAGCTAAAGCAGGAAGGGAAGACTGTGGCGAAAAATTACAACTCTGAATTATGTCAGTGTCTTTCTTTCCAGTTTACAATGAAATTGGATACTTACCTTTATGTTTAATCAGCTCACTGTGCTGAGGTCACTCTCCTAGTCCCTGGAGACAGCCCCCCTCTGTCTGACAGATGTTAGAAGGGCTTGAAAGACTACCCCTCCACCCAACACTCCTCCCTCTCAATGTTGACATAGGCATGGCCCGACCTGACCCTGAACTTGTAGATACTTAGCCTCTCAGCCTGTCACAACCCTGTCCTGTACTCTGCTGTCTCCTTGTGTGTCCTCTAGGCAGTTAGCATGGCTGGCTCTAATTGTTAGGTGAGCTCACCCTGTGACATCAGAGGTGAACCTAATCTCTTACTACTTGTCGGGTCTTAGGCAATTTACTGAAGCTCTTTGTGTTCAGCTTCATCACTTACTAAATGGGGGTAATATTGTACCTACCTCACTGGGCTGTTGAAGGGGCTTAATGAGGCCACACACATAGAGCAGGGTGCCTGGCAATTTGTCAGTGCAGTTCAGCTCCCAGCAGCACAATGCTGTTGGGAGGACTTCTAAGAGAATGTAAGACATGGACCCTGAGCCTTAACAAGTGCTCATAATTGTTCATTCCTTGCTCCCCTGGCTCTCTCCCCACCTGAGGAATGACCATCACACCATGGATCGATTCCTCTACTGTTGTTTCTTGTATCTGGATTTGGGCTTTCTTGAAAAGATGGCACAGAAGTGTTAAGAATTATTGTTACCTACCTGAAGGTCAAACTTCTCTACAGAATCCAAGGTCCTTCTTTACCCTCCTTTTTATTCCCGTTTGCAGTCCCTAGACTGTGCCTCTGCGCCCCAGGCAGTTCTGCCTCCTTTCAGCCCAGGAAGACACTATTCTTATTTCATTTCCTGGGCTTCCAGTCCATCTGGAGAGATGAACTGACCACAAGTTTCAGGTGTCAGTAGTGGGATGCTCACAGACTCCCCTCATTACATGTTTGTAGGATTTCTATGATTGCATTCAAAGAAAACTTTGTCCAGGCCCAGGGGGCATATACAGAAATGGTTGTGTGCTTGGCTTCCCTAGCTGCTGCATGTTTGGTCATTTCACAACATGTCTTTCCTCACTTCCCTGATAAACGTGCTGTAGGTCACCTGCTTTTCCCAGCTGTCCCTAGGAACTAGTGAACTTGCTGGGTTTGTTTTTTTCTTTTAAGTTAACTTGTTGAACGTCCTCAGTGATCTTAACATAGGGTGCCAGAAGACCAAGGTGATGGGGTCTTTTTGTAGTGACTGTGATAGTGATGATAAGAATGACTTAATGTTGATAATGACATTAATAGTAATAAAGATTACAGTGTCCCTTACCTCTTGTATTCAGTATGCAAAATATTTTTACATTCATTATTTCATGTTATTCTCATATGAACAGATAATCAGTACAGATAATAACTGCATTTTGTAGATGAGTTTTGGAAAGATGAAGAGGTTACCTAGATAGTGCTTATATTTTTAAAAATGAATTATTAGGGTACTCTTGATGTATGTTAAACTGCACATAGTTTAAATGTACACTGTGATGAATTTTGACATATGTGTATACTTGTGAAACCATCACCACAATTAGGACAGTGAACATATCTATTATGCCCCAAAGTTTCCCTGTGCCTCTTTGTCATTTCTCCCTTTTCCCTTTCTCATCTTTCCACCCCAGGTAACCACTGATCGGCTTCCTATGGCTATCGGTTAGTTTCTGTAAGTGGAATGTACAGTTATGTGCTTTTTTT